TTTGTAAATATTGACCAATTCAAACTATTTTATTAACAATCCAGTTTCATAAATCTTGGATTCATGGAACTGGTTCTAACAAATAATCAAGCGCTATTGGCCTTGCCTGCCTCTACGATTGCCTCTTAGTTCGTTTTCTTAACTTGTTTATGCTTCCAGACCATCAAACAACCGCTTCTGGCCAGCCAGTTTAGCAGCCGCGGCTGCGTTACATCCAGTCGCTGCTGGGCTTGTATCCGCTACAGCTACCACCATCATACCCCCATCCTCCTCGTCATCATCAGCTTCATCCGGGTCGTCGGCCTCTTCTTCCTCATCCTCTTCTTCGTCCTCGTCATCATCCGCCACTTCAGCAGCTTCCTTCTTATCAGGCCCTGTGGTACCTGTGGCCCCCGTAGCACCCGTGGCCCCACCAATTGCCCTCTCCAAAACTCAGACATCCAGTTCAAGAGGACTGGTAGGCTTTTCTACGTCTATGAACCCGACATCCCCCGAAAAGAAGGAAGATCTGGAGGGAAAGTCAATAAATGAAGAGGAGCTAGGGAAGAGACCAGACAAAGAAAAGAAAGAGGAAAACACTCCTGTTGAACTGAAGCCGTCTCGCGGACGATTAGTCCCACCGGTAACTAAAATGCTTGGTTATTCATGCCAACCAGCCTTTACTCGGCGTTCTATATGCCAGTCGACTTCCCCAGTGCTTCGGACTAAGAAGCGTCATCAGCCTGAAGGATTTCTCTTATCCACTGGCCGGTCAGACCCCCAAGTTAACGGACAGAAGGCAGAGGTTGATGAAGCTAGTCTGGCCGCAGTAGATGGAGAGGGGGAAGGAGATGAGGGCGAGGACGATGAAGACGAGGATCAGCAGGAGGCTGAGGATGATGAAGAAGAGGATGGAGAGGACGATACGGAGGAGGACGAGGTGGAGGATGAAGAAGACCACAGGCAAACGCTAGAGAGGTATATGGACGAGCAAAGATTCCCATCCATCGGGAATGTGCCTCATGGAACAGCTCGACTGCCTCATGTGGATCGACAAGGAACAAATGGTTTGTTGCATCTTATACCTCCATTGCCGCTGCCGCAGTATCCTCTCTCGGAGCATGGAGTACATCAGTCTTCGCCGCATCTGCCACAGTCAAGTAATCAAGCCGCCCATCATACCAGTCAGAATCACCAGCAGCACCAGCAACAGCAGTTACAATCTCACCAGCACCAACAACTCGTGCAGTCACAAATTGCTACCGACTGCCGGTTGCAGGTGCCTGGAGGGGCTGGATTGGAAGGCTTCTTGGACGTCCTGACAACTCCACAGTCGCATCCTCTGCCTCCGCCGGCAGGCACTCATGAAACAGAGGCGAGACAGCTTGAGCGTAACAGACTGCATGGTATGGGACAATCTGGTGAGTGGACTACTGATTATGTAAAGACGAATTTATTTTCAATGCAATTAGGTTTATAGACTATCATTAAATCTTGAATAATAACATAGTCAGCATAGGTCGCATTGATATAAGTCCTTAAATAACCTTATACAATGGTCTCGAAAACCACTTGAATAGAAAACAAGTGACACCACCGATTATAAGGGCAAGGACATGTTTTCCAAAATTAAATTTTCTATCTATAAATATGAGTTTGGAGGGGCTTGGCTTCCTTTGAATGTCGCATATGCTCTACGAAATACTGGCACCAATAGCTGTGTAGAGGAGTGAAGTGGTGACATCGCCACGATACATATGACCCGGTATCCAATACCGCTTAGGCTGAATAGGGGATGATGAGGCGAGGAATAACCTGCAGTCCACCCTGAATAAGATAGCCATTTGGGAGACAAGGCTCAACTCATATATATGATTTACTGGTAGTACCGAAAACCTACTCACTCACGAAAAAAAGTAATGTCGTCAATTGCTATAGCAAATATAAGTTTGCTTCATCGACAATCCGAAAACAGAATGTGAAATGGAAAATACCTGAAATTCCTTGAAATTCCCATCTACCGTGTGACCCAAGTGCATTCGTGGCAGTGTGGCGTAGTGGTTAATGTGTCGAGCTTACACGCTGCCCTGTCATGGTTCAACAATCGCTTAAGGTGTTGTTAAGACATATGTGAGGTCGAAACTGAACTCCACCCTGGACGAGGTTATGTGAAATGGAATGGAAAGCATCAGCTTTACTCATATCATTATGGGAAAATTCAACTACTAGTCCTTCATCAGCTTAAACGAAACAGGGTGAATTCATTCCATATAACTGATTTACTTGTAGTCCCTAAACTCTGCTCATAAATGAAAAATGTGGATGACCAATTTGCTATCTGGCAGGATGAAAAAAGAGAGCATCTGAGGCCTCTATAGGTTAATGAACGGATTAGATAAGACTAGTGAATTTACTATAGAGTTAAAAAAGGGCAGTAAGTTACCTTTTTAGATGTCTTAGTTATTAAAAAAGGGAACATACTGGATACATTTGTGTATAGGGAAATCAACAAATGCAAGATTTCTTAAGGAGGAGGAGGGATTGTGGAGTGATGAAGACGGTTTAATTGTGCGAAGAAGTCTTCGACTCATGAAATTATGACTCCGATCAACTGGTGCTAAGCATTCGTCTGTATTGTGACAGAAATCATCAGAGCAAGAAATAGCGCAATAGAATAAAACAAAACCAAGAGAAAATGTGAAGTTAATTTAGTGGCAACTTTTCCATACCATGCATAAACTACTGTACGATCCTCTAATGATTAGGCATGTAAAATTGTCTATTGCGTGAATGCAATTTTCATGTCAAGATAGATGCAATAGTCCTTATCAGACTCAAGGCTAATCCAGTTTCCTTCTCTTGCTCAGTGACTTTTCCTGCTCTCCCTCTCTCTCGCTTTCTTTAAGCCTATACAACAGCCATAAATTATACATACTCAATTTCCTCCTATTCAAGAGGTTGGCTGTTTAGTTAATTTATATTAACTCCCCAAACTTACGATTTTATATAAAGTCCCCGTAACCAACAAAATGTGCTTTGGACAGGTATATTGAATTTTCTTTATTAGAAATGTGATCAGAAAGCTCAGCTTTTTGGACCTATGGACCTTTTCAAGAAGTTTTGCGTTTACACAATCTCAGTTGGATTGTCAGCAGGCCTCCCCCATATATATATTACCATATGAGCACAAAATCAGGTAGCAGCTTGGTCTAGAAAGAGGGTCCGATAATTTTCGAATAAAGGCTCGACTGAAAAGTGTCTATTTTTCTTAAAACAATGTTTTTGTGTTACTCTGCCTTAGTAGGTCACTTGATATTTTTGCATGCGGAAAGACAAAATTAAGAACCGAGTCTACCTGTCTATCACGCCCTAAATTACAATTTTCCCCCATTCTATTAGTGCGTATTGAAATGTAATTATCTACTAATCTTAATTGGTAATTGCTTTGAAATAATTTATCCCTCAGACTACAGCTTTCCTGGTCCATATGGTTTACGTATAACTACACAGACTACTTATTATCATTGATTGCATAACTCCTACTTAAACTCTAAATTCATTATTAGATTAGAAATTAATAAGGAAAACTGCGTTTGTGGGTTTCCTTTACACATTTCTAGCATACATATTACAATATTTGCTTATTAAGATATCTTTTTAAATTCCATAGCGAAATTAATAATTGGCTCAAGGAATTCCTCCAAGTTATGTTTGTCGTGTTGCCAAGAGGCAAATCAATCGTCTATATCTCTAACTAGGAGAGCCGCTTGAAATAAATGACTCTCTAATTGAGCCATATATATATTAGTTAAAATAGGGGCTAAAAAAGATTTCATAACCAAACCAGGTGTTTGCCAAAAAAACTTAGCAGTGAAGGTAAAATATGTATTAAGGCCAACTTAACTAATCTTATAAATGAATCTCTACAATTTTTACCTCTTATGATCTCTGGAGGTTAATCTAAGTTTAGTTCTCAAGCGAAAATATGAAGACCAAGATGGTGTGGCTTTTTGCGTGGTCGTAGTCTCCTTTCGTCGTATATAAGTTGTTTGACCTTGTTTTCGCAACTTGGTCACATTAGTAGGAAGACTTAGATGAACGCACCTAGTCCGGAGTCCATTGTATGCATGACCATTTCCAAACTCGGACCGTGGACGTGGTACATTCCCAGACGTTTCGCCGGCATCGTTAGTGAGTCTTGCTATTCTTAGCGCCACGCTACAACTCGTCAACGCGACAAGTGAAACCCAGTTGTGGCATCTCTCCTTCTGCCCTGAGCTATCCACATTTCCTATATCCTCATATCACGCCCTCACTGTTACAATTTTTTACCGTGCTTCTTTTTTATGTAGTGTGGTGTGCTCCTTTAAGTGCATTCATGAAAACCCTCCACACTTCACGCTGGCGTTCTCACCCCTCCTTCACCCTTTTGCTGAGACTGTTGATCAGAGTCTGTCATATCGTTACGCAGTCCTCCTTCCCTAGGTCTTATCAGAGTCTCCCTCTTGCCCCGTAAGATCCGTCTGCTATCTCCTTGGTTCACCTATTTCACTTAACCCCTGCCCCCCTCTGGGCTACTCGAGGCGATATTACTCCTCCCCTGAGTCTGGGTGGCTAATTCGAGGCTAAAGCCTCATAGTAAGTCTCATGGTTACGCCTTTGCTACATGGACCACGTATCTGGTAAAACCTACTGTCAGCCAACTAGCTCCAGTCTCCGCCGCGTCTATCCTGTTTCTATATATAATACAAAGTATATGACTTCCCATGGCCTAGTCTCTTGTGTGCCAACCCACAAATGTTGTGGTACTATTTGTCTTGATTAGGTTTAATATTGAACCACAACGTTTGTGGGTTGGCACACAATTCTTAAGCTTTCATTGTCCCGTTTATCGGAATATTAATGGGCATAGACACTAAACCGAAACCTACCAGCATTTCACTCTTAATATCGCCTGGTCGACAACTAACTTGATAAAGTGTTGGTTCG